TATCACAATCAGTAACATGGTAGTCACAGATCGTCACTGTGAAAAGGACCGGTGACCAAATCGAAGATCATTGTCGTCGAACAAGATGTTCCGAAAACACATCCCTTATGCTCCGATCCCAAGATCAGAGTAAATGAGAAATATATTGGGACAGAGAAGAAACTATGTAGATACTTTTTGTGAGCGATTGGCCTGATTAACGGCACAGACAGTCATGATGCACTTGGGTGTGAAAAGGAGTGTCGCTACACTGTATCGGTTGCAAATCTTCGTCCAAGTTCGTTTCTTTTTTGCTTTGCATCATTGTACTTTGATGTTGACTGGGTCAGGCCGTCTCCGCCGTATGAATAAAGTGCAGTAGCAACTTCAACCTTTGCTCTTGCATGCTTCGCATATCTGTATCTCACAAGTTAGGGCTAGTGCGTCGCTGACAGCGGTCTAGCCAAAGATTGGGTTAGCTAGCCCCGCCCAACGGTCAAGTCCTGTCATGCAACAATTCGTGGCAGTGTCGTATGACTTACTGTGATCGCGCTGACTCTTGCTATCGACGAGGTCTAACCAGTCTGACCCCCTTTGACCCTTTTTGATCCCGCAACGGGTCAACGAATCAATTGTTGATCCCAGTACCGCTGCTCCAACTCGTCCATATTACACTGCACGCCGGCACATCTCCTTTAAGCACTCCACACTCAACGTATATTCCTGAACTACTTGATAACCGCGACGTGGAGTGGCACAGCAACTACTTAGCTCACACTGCCCTCGGCGCTGGCGCTCAAACAATAATATATGTTCGTCTTCGAGTCGTGTATTGTACCGTCACTGCTTCTTCTTCCGCTCCAGGGCCCTTATGTCGCAGTTCAATCACTACCTCGCCCAATATGAACTAAGGCAAGTACATTTGTAGATGTAAGTGCAAGTGATAGATGCTGACCACTGAGAGTAGTAGCCTGTATTGTTTTGCCATCGCTATAAGTGAGTCAGTCGAATCACGTATCCTATCTCGAATATGATTCCCGATATTTCACCAGCAATTGTTATCTATGATTATTCTCTAACCATATCACAAGAGATTGTTCATGTGTGGGGGCGTCCGCTCTCGGGCGCAGCTGCCCTATACCTGATCAACCGGTACCTTTCCATCATGTATGTACTGCTCCTGATAAGTGAGCTCTGTGTGGGATATATCCAGTCACCCTTCGAGGCAAATAAAGTAAATGCGCAGCCTTTCTATCAAAGCTTCCCGTCTATTGACTATCAGTGACCACAGTTGTATTTGTTCACTCAGTCGAGTGCAGTATTCAACACTCATTCCGTCTCGCTAACAGCTGTTTTGATCTTGGGGTTATTCTCCTAATTCTCTTCACTGTCATTCGCTTGAACTTGACTGGTGCGGTAATATTTATTTATGCATATGGTTGTTCCTCGTGATGACCTTGTGTCCAACTGCTGCTAGTATTTATATCTTTGCAAACATATGCACTCTGGAACAAAGATATCCGAATTCTTGTGTTCAGCCTGGTCATGGGGATAGTACCTATGGTCCTCAACACGGTATGTTTGTTCCAGTGCCATTTATATATCTGATTCTGATTGTCAATGTCTAGTATTCACTCACTACGAAGAAAGCAGCCTTTGTCTCTGTCCCATTCAGAGCCTGCGTAAACTACACTACGAGCCACAACTTGGTCGTAGTTAATGCGTAAGTCTGAGAACGTGCTCCCACGCAGCCCCATTTTCTTATGTGGCCTTTCACAGTTGTTAGTCGATGAATTTATGGGACACCCGGATTCCTGCTACTAATCATGCTACACATACAGTTAATATCACCGCTGGTGCTTTGTACATCCTACTCTACTCTTCGATTTTTGTCCTGACCATGGTCAAGACATATACAAATACTCGTCATGCAGTTGCCTCAATACAACACCGAGGTGCACGATTGTTCATCCTCATCCAGAAGGATGGTGCGCTATTCATCGTGCTATATGGTTGAGTCTGCTCTAAAAGCAGAATTCCAGGTGCCCTACAATTCATGTATGTCGTCTTCATAACACTTCAACTGGCAATCATGAATCTTTGAACTACAGAGCGGTTATATTCAGTAACATCACCAACATGATCAGCTTGACAATCCAGGTACGCATACGTTTCGATGGTGTTTTAATTCCGCACTCAATGTAGCACAGACAGAGGTAGGTTCGATGACGTTTATAGTAGATGCGTAAGCGCTATTCAATTTTCAAAGTCAGCTCGATGGATGTTTGTTTCGCTAGGTTGACAACCGTCCTGGTCTCAAGATTTATCCTCAGCATTCGTGCGGTTAACACCCAAGGCGAGGACGAGACGACGTTCGGGGGTCAAACAACTCTCCAATTTGCCAATGCCAGCACAGAGCGCGGCGTGTCCGATAACGCTGAAGGTGACAGCCACCAATCCGGGATCCCCACGGATCGCATTGACATCGAACCACGTCCGTATCAATGTGAACACGAGGCCTCCATATTCAGAGGCGAGCATCTCTGGCATTAATCTTGCGCACTCCTTTCATAACAGACATTGGAGGACACGCCCCTGAGGTATAGAGGGCGGGGCCTGGCGTTGGTTGAGATGAAGGGTTGCAACCTCTTGACAGTCGCCAGTCCCTATAAATCTAGTATATAGTGCTTGGATGGAATGTCACTTTTTTCTGTGTCCTTAATCGCGAAGGTGTGCCAGTGGTTTGCGTACTTGTCGAAGTCCGAACCTTGATGTACCCATTGTCCTTGCACTCTCTTTATCTAATCAAGTCCACGACACGAACACAATCATTTGCCATCCATTCCAGCTCTGATGCTAGCGGCTCTTCATGTATAACGGGTCGATTGGACGTTCTGACCAGATCAAGTGCAAAGTTTCACTGACCATCTCAGATGAGGTGCCGCTGCGATAAGTCAAAAGTACAACAGACTCATAGCACCTCGCCACCTTGTGTTCTGAAAACATTCAGGTGGAGTTCGGTAAGCCCAGTGATTTGCTTCAAAATGAAGACGGAATGCTCCGTGCTCTGGTAGAGGAAAATGGGAATAAAGTTGATCTGTTGGCTATGGCCGCTGGTCACAGCACTTGATCCTCTACATTGTGTTATTCCCTTCTATTCACTTTGTCATTACTATTCCTCAATGATGTGTGGTCCGCCTTCATCAAGGATCACGAATTGCGATGACCCTGAGCAGCAACAATGGTGATCGAGTCCATGAACGCTGCTTCAAGTTCTGTTAGGCAAGAAAGCTGCCGAGCTACGCAGTAAAATCCAGCCACTCTTCCTCCAAATATGATCAGTGCTCGAACCAAACTTGATAATAGGTGTTCATGACAAATGTCCGTCTTTATGGCTGCACGTAGTACTTCACGCTAAGGGAGAAAGGTACTATTAGGTACACATAACCCTTGTACGTACTCTCATTCTATTGTTCTCGTTGGTACTCCCAGTTCTAACAGTAAACACACGGTCTTCGTCTCTCGGGAAATTCCAACAGCCCTCCTCCCTAAAAGGAGCCAGCGAGCAAACTAGTACGGCGAGCGGAACAGGTTTCTCAGCTAGGGCGCGGGTTTTGTGCCAAACGGGTAGATGAGATAGTCGGTGCTCCAGCTGTGTCGTGATTCAAACTTGGCAACAATCTCCATGTCCTCATTCCTCCTGGGCAGCTTAACGATGTACCACCGTCTGTATGCAGCAAACTCGATGGGGTTTTCTGAAGTGCGGGACGATAATGCAATTGCATGGACAGTTACATGAAGATTTCTACGCACAGATTGTTGACCGAGCACGCGAGATATGTGAATATGTCGCCCCAAGAACAGAGCGTCGCCCACAAGTAGCCCTTAGTCGTGTTAGCATTTAGCGGAGTGCATATAATAACGGACCAAGGGTTGCATGGCGGAAGGTCGAATCTTGGCAGCCTAGGCCGAGCATTAAACAAGCACCATAAATAGTCCTTGTTTCCACTGTAAGTTTCCTCTGAAGATGTACAGAGAGCCAGGACCTGTGGAGAGAGGTATCTGGTATTGAGACCCGTGGAGAGTCTGTCCATGAACGCTCCATTCACCGAAGTTGGCTTTGACCAACTTGTAAGACGGATAGTCTCCTACGGCTCTGCCAATCTGCGGAATGTCACTCATGATTATATCACGTTTCGCACTATGGACGACCAATGTACGTATAATTTTGCTTCCATTGGTTGATATGTTGGTTGATTAGGCTTCATCGGGTGGAGCACCGGGTACTGAAAATGCTCAAGTCTGTCTTTGGCAAATTTGCGATGGGCAGAGGCGAAGAGGATGAGTTGCTGTTTATGCTGTTGCTGCTGCTGCTGCTGATTGCCTGGGATGTGAGTGTTGGCTCGGCCGACCAGTACGGGAAACCGAAAAGAATGTGCGCCACTCACTGTCCCTGCTTTGTCAAGACGTTTTTGCTGCTGTTCGGCTTGTGACATCGACGTACTTGCCTCCCATGGGTACGAGGTGGACTAGGATGATTCGAATATGCATGCGCAAGGAATTCTCGGACAGCAAAGTGTGTTTTGGCTAGTGGATCAGGGTTCACGAAGACAAGCTACTCGGTGTGGACTACCTGATGCGCTTAATGACCAGCCTTTACTGGGCCGGACCCGATGAATAACTCCGACTCGTGTTTAGCTGTTGGAGACATCTCCATAAACTGGATTATATTCGTGCTTGCGGCAAGGACGCCACGCGTGTCGTGCGTCGCGTTGCGAAGGAGGCAAGTATATGACGTTCAGCTTCTGGGTTGGCAGTCTTTCGGTAGATGTCCTCGCTCCCAGGCCCATTGCAAGGGTTATATATGGAATAAGTACAAGCTAGTGACTGCAGATGTAGCTAGCGATAATTGGACGAGGTTTATTTCGTGCAGTGGTGACCGTGGGCCAAACGCGCGCCAAGTTGCGCTGAGAGGCCGACCTGGGACCGCTGCTCGTCTTTCCCTCGAGCTTGTCTCTCTTTGCTTTTTCTGCTGTTTTTGCTGTGGTTTCCTCTTGTAGGAGCACTGTACTCGGACTTGTCGAGCCATCGTACGCTGCCTGCTCACTGTGAATACTGTGCGATGCTGATTTAACCGAGTCGGTGGATGATGCAGACCGAGCTTTCATGGCGCCCAACTTCCTGTCTAAGTTCGTGAAGAGTTCGCCCTCGACTTCCTCCCAGCGATCCCGCTCGCCCTCGCCGTCTCCTTCCCGCTCTCACTCCCGTCCCTCGTTCACGGTCGAGACTAGCGACCCGGCCCACTCCTCTCATTCACGCCCGCGACGACATACGACGGTCGGCAGCGCGACCCCGTCCTTTAACGGGAGCGTCGAGTCGTTCCCCAACGTAACCATTGTTCCGCCCTCGCCGCACAGCACTTCGTACGGCTCCGATATCCCTGACGAGCCTCGGCGCCCCTCCAACCGCTCAGCAAACCGTGTGCCGTCTCTAACCAATCTCACCCCGCGCAGTGGAACTACCGACGATGAGGACATGACCACCCCCACTCCAGCAACGACGCGCACCACCTTCGCTGAGCCGTTCGCTGACCGCTCCCTGGCCCATTCGCGCTCAGCGGAGAACCTCCGGGGGAAAGCCCAGGCGGCGGTCATGCTCTCCCCTACCTCCACCCATCCCCGTTCTGCAACACTCTCATATGAGCAGCCCTACAACAAGTCTCAGGAGAGTCTAAAGAATCCTCCTTCGAAAAAGTCGAGCAAGAGTAAACTGCGCAGCTCGTCCCGCCCGCGCAAGAAGCCGTCCGGCCGCCACGATCGTTCTGCGTCGGCCTCGTCCATGCCCAATGTGACCGTCACCGAGGATGGCGTACTCACCACATCTCCCGTATCTGACCACATCCCACCGACACCTCCACGCTCGGCTCGCGTCCAGAACAACACATATCCCGGTCTTGGTCCCAGCCTGCTTGCCCCGGACAACTCAGATGCGGTCTCCACATATTCCACTGGTAGCAATGCAGCGTCATCGAGGAAGAGACGGCCATGGCATAGGTCTGGTCACGATGCGGACACTTCGCCAGCTGTGTCAACCTTGTCTCTCTCCCCTAAACGCAAGCACACCGGCAGTAGTCTCGCGTCGGCTATTGCAGCATCGGGCCTCTCCATGGCGAACCATGGTATGAACATGACACCCGTCGCCCCTCCGCTCCCTCCCACTCCCGGAACCTCGTCGAGCATATCCTCCCGGCGACCACGAAGCTCTTCCGAACACTCGCGGAATGGCCGTTCTCGTCAACCGTCGCTGGTAGCATATCCAGCTAGCGACCTGTCTGACCGAGAGTCCTTTCATTCCGGGCAGGATTTACTCGGAGACGAAAGTGGATTGGAGGATGATGACGACGACGACGATTTGGATCTGGACCCAGATGACATCCCCGTCACTGGCTTTGCGGTTGCGAGCAACAAACGCAATCAAGACTTTCATGAGCTCTTCCCCACTGTCCCAGAAGGGGACTATCTTATCGAGGGTATGTCGCGCAGACAACGCGCAACTATTAGCGTCTTAATACTTCTCTGCAGACTATGGATGCGCTCTGCAACGCGAGATCCTCATTCAAGGGCGACTGTATGTGTCTGAGAATCATATATGCTTCCACGCCAACATCTTTGGCTGGATCACTGATGTACGCCGGCACATTCTTTTCACATTTCTGTCTGACCTCGTTTCTTAGCTCTGCATTCCGATGTACGAGGTCACTGCGCTGGATAAGCGAATGACAGCATTTGTGATTCCAAACGCCATTCAGGTGACAACCTCCGGCGCAAAATACACTTTTACCTCATTCCTCTCACGTGATACAACCTTTGATGTGATCTACAACGTCTGGCGGCTCGCACGACCAGAGGGTTCGTCTGTTGGCTCGCTGTTGCAGAGCCCAAGGGGTTCGATCGAGGTTGCCATCGATTCGGACGGTGTGTCTATGGGACTCCCGTCGGCGAGCTCAGTGGGCACGAAAAGTCAAGTCAAGAACAAGGTGACGCAGTGCCTTTGTGGCAAAAATCGCGAGCATTTCAATGAGCTGGCGATGGAGAGTATTTTGCCTGGGACTCCAGAGAAGATCTACAATCTGATGTTCACGAGCGGTTTCATCAAGGATTTCATGACGCATGAACAGAAGCTCACAGGTATGTCCAGCCTTTAAGGTGTAGATTCGGCTGGGCTGAACGTCATGATGCTGCAAGACCTTCAGATCTCCGACTGGTTGCCTACGGCAGAGAATCCCGGGCTGCTCTTCCGACAAATGTCGTATATCAAGCCCCTCACCGCCAGCATTGGGCCAAGACAAACCAAATGCGAGCTGCGTGATGAGACTGTGCATTGCGACTTTGACGAATACGTTGTTATGCTTACCACGACGCGCACTCCGGACGTTCCGAGTGGTGGGGTGTTTGCTGTCAAGACGAAGACGTGCATCACATGGGCGAGCAATGTTTCTACCAAGGTTGTCGTAACCACCCAAGTGGATTGGACGGGACGCAGCTTCATCAAAGGTGAGTCCAGTAAGGTCGTCCGTTGTCTCATGTTGCCGACCCTCGCGAGTAGGTCTTATCGAAAAGTCGGCCATTGACGGGCAAAAGCAATACCACGTAGACCTTGACAAGTCTATGCGGACATACATACACGAGCACCAGTCCGAGTTCATCCCAGAGGGCGTAGATGCGGCTGTCGTGGAGGAAGCTGCTGAGTCACACACAGTCGAGGCATCCCCACGACCGAGTGTCGAACGGCCGTCACTTAGTGAAGACGAGTTGCGCAAGGCGCGAGAATATGAGCGTAACCAGCGCGGTTTACAATGGGCATACGATACGTTTGAAGGGGCTCTCAAGGTCGCGAGGCACAGTACTGCCGGTTTGATCGAGCTCCTCCGCGACGCATGGGATCAGTCAACCTCGACGGCCATCCTGTACTTCGTGATTGTTTTTCTGGTCATAAGCAATATCTGGACGCTCGTAATGGTTGGAAAGAGAGAGGAAGTAGGCAGGCGGAAAGAGATGCGGAAGACAGAGGAACGGGAGAAATGGGTACAGGGTGTCGTCACTGCGCTTTGGGACGAGCTGGTTGCCACGAGAAACTCACCAGGGGCCGGCAGCTCCTTGGTGCCTCGGCCGGCAGCTGATTGGAGAGATGAGGTGGGTGAGATTAATGTTGCACTCGACTACATTGAGCAGAGGGTGCGGCTCGTGAAAGAGAGTCTGAAGGAGCTTGACTAGTTTACATTTTTACCTTGGGATGTTTACATTTTTCCGTATCTTCCGTTTGCAATTCATTCTTGCGTATCGAATTGATAAAGTCCGCAAATGCATACAAATTTTGTTCTATGGTATTCCAAGACACGAGCTCAAGTTCGTATTAGTGACCTAAGTCGATTGTATGGGAGCGTTGGATGTCAGATTGTTGTGGCGCAGTATACGACAAGAACATCAAAATACACTAGAATCTGATATAATCGGTTAATGAGAGTGGGCAGTAAATCCTGGAAAAGTTGTCCTTGCCCGGTGCGTGCAACGGAAAGTGAAGGAGCGTGTGATCGAGTTCGAATAGCTAGATGAGCGCATAGGAATAACTGAAAGGTGCGAGAGGACAGCATGAAAAATTACGACAGGACAGCTCAATGATCTTAGCAAATGTTCTCAGCGGCCCCAGGCGATCAACGCGGTGATTGAAAAATAGATAAAACCTTTTCCGCTCCTTCCTTGTACTTCTTCAAGCCTTTGCTCTTTTGCTTATCTTCTTCGAGGGAAACAACAGAGGCCCCCCGAATCGTGCCATCAGCCCCTCTGTATTCACCACTGAATGACAAGTCTGACGATTCGCTGGGTGAAAGCATAGATATAGCCGATTCTTTAGACCTTAATGAAGGAGAGTCCGGTAATGTCGAGTTGGCAGAAGTAGCTGGAGAGAGCATTCCGGCGCTCGAAGACGTCGACAATGTCGCGGATGTTGAGTGCGTCAACGTCTTTGAAGCTGCAGTAGATCTAGATGACGAATGAGGAGACTTCTGTCGGAGAAACTGCCTTGGATGTTTGCGGAAAGTGAGACCTGGATTCCTTCCCCGACGCTGTTTGTCCGAAGGAGACGGAGATTCGGGAGATTCAGTGCCGCCAAGGTCTGAATCTACCGATAACCCTGAGAAAGAGCGAGGGCCACCAGACCGACGAGGAGTAGACTTTCGGAAGACAGCAAGCTTGTATCGATCGACGACCCCGCGAGCAAACAGACTAGTTCCCTTGGCGCCATTACGCTCTTCTGTAACCTCAGCCTCGACAAAGTCCCAATCGTCATCATCCTCATCGCGTTCAGCAGCGATGCCGTCTTCGTGCGCATCGGAGAGATCGCGATCCAGGGCTGGGATACCAGATTTTTCCCTTCGTCCCCGTTGTCGGGCAGCGTTTGGACGTGGCTGAGGCTTGACGATCGGCTTGATAGGCTTGGGTTCTTCCACGACAGCTGGAGCTGCTGCAGGTTGCGCTGACTCGGGCTCTGCTCTTGATAGCACCGACATGTCCTGACTTCGTCGAGCAGCTTTTTTGGCGAGAAGCTGTTCTCGGATAGGACTTGCTGGAGCCTGAGGTACAGGAAGAGGAGCAGGTCGGGCCTCCGGCGTTTTCGGTTCCAGACTTTCTTCCACCGCAGGCGCATCTTGCTCCACTACCTCGGCACTGCCGATAGCGGTCTGAGACAGCTGCTGTTCCAGAAGCACGCTGTCTGTACTGGTCGCGCTCGCAGAAGTCTCTTCTTCCTCATCCTCGTCATCCTCGTCTTCATCTTCTGCTTCAGCATCCTCGTCCAATATGATCGAATGCCGCCCCTTGAAGGAGTACCCATCGAATACGTCTACCGATTCGTCCTCTCCCGGGTGCACAGACGGACTGCGGGACTGCAATGGAGTTGCAACGGAGTCCTCGCCATCAGTGCGGTCGGTGTCCGTGTGACGGTCTTGATCAGTATCAGACTGATCATTCTCATTCTCGTCATTGATTACTGGCACCATGTCCAGGAAGGTATCGTCGAAGTTCTGGGTATCACTAGCGTTGGATGGATCGATAGGTGGAACATAAGGGGCTAATGGCTCCATAAGTAATCGAAGCACCAATTGCCAAACGGCTGAAAACTTACGTATGTAGCGTTTATAATACACATGAGACCAGTCTCTGCGAGTGTCGCAAAATATAAGAAAATGACATCAAAATAGCAGCGAGACGCGTACATCATTGAGAAGTAGGGATGCTTCTTTATGCGGGGTTCCTTCATCCGCAACGCGGGGTTACGTTGAAGTAACTGTCGATGAAGATGAATCAACTCCGAGACAAATTGGATCAACCTAGATGCTACTCACTCCACGTATCAAACTTTTTGTATCTTGGTCCATTGTTCTATCCTCTGGGAACTGAAGCTCGTCTTGCAAGACTCTGTAGTACATATCTGAATGATTGTTCGCCCAGAATGGTGTCTGGGAGATGTGAGTGAGTATTTGGTGGTCGATTGATTCAATGGCACTCACAATTCCTGTCAACATCTCATATAGCATTGTACCGAAGCTCCACCAGTCGACCTCATAACTATATTGTTGACCTTGTATTACCTCAGGTGCGAGATACTCCGCTGTGCCGCAGAACGTCGTCGTCGTATCGATTGTACTAGATGGCGTCCAACTATTCGACAGCTCTTCACCTTTCTCGCCCTTCATCCAGTGAGGGGTTGCAGCAGTAGGGCTGCCAGCAGTGAAGTCACCTCTCAATCCAGACGGCGTCGGCGGAGCCGTGATAGGCGATGTGCGACGGGGAAATTCTTTCGATAGACCGAAATCTGTGAGGACGATGTGACCATCTGCAGCGATGAGGATATTTTCGGGCTTCAGATCGCGGTAGATTACGCCTGCCGCATGTAACCCTTCTACGCCCTCGACGATTTCAGCAGCGTAAAATCGTGCCCTATCACGTCCCAAGCGACCCCAGCGCGCTAGTTGAGTAGCTAGGTCCCCGCCAGGGTGAAAGTCCTAAACCAGAACTGCTTGAATACAGCGTCGGGCACACGACTACCGACTTACCATGACCAAGAAAAGGTTCTCCTTGTCGTGGAAACTCCACCATAGCTTCACGACAAATGGATCGGTGCCTTCCGCTGCCATTCGCTTCAAAACAGCTTGTTCGGTCAACGTATGTTGCAGTTCTTGATGAGCCAGCACATGTCGTTTGGTGATAGCTTTCAATGCATATACCTCGCCGGATGGCTTGTATCGAACGAGAAGCACCTTGCCCGCACAGCCTTTACCGAGCACGCGCATCATCTCGAAATCGTCGATGGCCACTTTCCGCTGAGACTTCTTCTTCTCACTATTCGGGTCCATTGACTTGCTGCGCTTCTTTCGAGATGCACGTCTCCCCGTGGTCGAGATGGAAGAGTCGTCGTACGAGTCTCCAGTTTGTGACGTCCTAGACGATGTTGCGTCGCTTTGTAGCGGAGACGACAGATATACTCGCGACGCGCGAGACATTGGATCAGCTGATTGAGAACGGGGAATACGTGTAGCATGCGAGGAGCCATCCGAAGCCACAGGGGTGGACGGCATATCTTCATCTGTACGGGCTTCAATCCCGTTGAGAACATTTTTAACGACCTCGGAGCTCGCTATCACATCCTGGAGAACGACTGCGGAAGGCTTGGGTGATCGCGGAGTGAGCGCTCGATCCTGGTCATCGGGCTTATGCCCTGACTCTGCAACATGAGCAATATCTTCACCAGTTACGGATGTCTGCGCTGGATTGTGTTCTATGATCTCCACATCTTCCTCCTCCTTGATGTCCTCCTGCGCGGCGCTGCTATCAGCAAAACCAGTCTCCTCATCTGCAGATACAGGAGCATTTGCAACAACCCGGGAAAGACCATCGACCTTCGGCAATACACCTCTGTCCCGATCTCCATTCGCTACGACCTGGCTAATTGATCGCTGCATTTCCGACGAATTCCTGTTTCCGGGACTCACGTGCGCAGCAAGGTCCGAGCGCACACGTTTTATCGCCCGCTCAACTCGCACGCTTTGTAGGTCATCCGTGCGGACTCTTACAAACCGTTTCCACACACGCGTCTGTCGAAGGGAAGAGTCGTTTGCTACTGCTGTGAGGTAGGCCGCAAGACCTGTTACGGTGCTATTAGCTGGGGGAAGTGATGCCTGCAAGTCGTCTTCGTCGTCATTTTCTGCAAATGGATCAGAAAACTCCTGCTTCGGAGACGACAGTGGGGTAGGTTGTGTCGAAGAAACGACGCTAGTCGTTGTACTGCTTGCCGCATGGCTGGATGTTGCAGATCGACGGCCGGAGACTTGTCGCTGGAGAGATGACTTGCTCGAGGGCGAGGCCAGTCTTGAGAGTGTGTTGAGGAATGTAGACTTGCGCTTTGGAGGTGCGGAGACAGAGGAACTGTCGATAGGAAAGTTGGGCATTTTCACCCCGGGATGACTATCGCGCAGCTTTCCATGCAGCGCAAATATCTCCTGCGCGGTACGGGTGAGAGTGATATTATGTGTTAGCGCTAGAAAGTGGTCAAAAGGTTAGTGAACGAACAGGTTGACGTAACTTGAACAAGCGCAAAGAGATGGCCGGCTTATCACCGATACTGACGTCTTACACGCACTTTACGGAAGTACGCGGGGTAAAGAAGGAGGGGAAACGACGAATGTGAGACAGGAGAAATACTCACTCTTAACGTATATACTGTATGATGAGGGGTCATGTGGCATCTCCGCCACGCTGATAGTCCAGGGCCCATCTTGGTTGTCTATCCGAAATGGGATCCGACGGGTGGGCATAGACTGGATCTCGGTCGAGTTTTTCATCGTGGAGAGCTCGCGGTCGAAGAAAGACGAGTCGACGACGATACTTGAGCGATCTCTGGAGTGCCCCAAATCAAGATTGTTGCCGGTGATGGTATCGACGCTCCGTCTAGTCAACGAGTGGGACAGTGCAGGATTTGTAGGCCGTGTGCTGGCAGGATCGAAGCCTCTGTGTATAGCACCTAGTCCAAGAACCGTTCTGAACCTGGCGCGCGAGTCGGCGGTTGAGGTCGATTGGTGCTGAGGCTGTGGGGCGACGGAGCGAAGGACACTCAGCATGCGAAAGGTGCGGTCGTGCTGCGCGACGACGGCCGGAGGAGGGGAGGGTGGGCAACGAGGAAAGACGGAGGAGAGGAAAAGGTTGTTTACGGAAAAGTGCTAGAGACGGCAGTTGGGTGAGGCGAGGCGTGGAGGCCACGAGTTGGGAAGCGATGATGGGCGTGATGAATGCCTCGAGGCTGTCGCAGCTACTCGTGAGAGCGATTGGACGACTGACTCGGGGCGAAGGAGACGGGGAAATCCAAGAGATGGTGTCGAGTGGGTACAAGGCGAAAGGGCGTGGTGGGCGTTGCAAGACAAGCGCAGCCGTCGCTTGGGTCTCGCTCGTCAGTTGAACTCTCGCTTTCACGCAAAGGCAAACACCACGCAATGGACGTCCGCAGTGCTCTCCTCTCGTCACCACAACCCGGAAACCTTTCGGTCCACGCGCCGGCTTTTCGTAGCGAACGGAATATCAGTCCTGGCGGCGATGAGCTCAAGCTGCGCTTCAGTTTGCAAGGTTTCGCAAGCCCAGCCAACCCTCTGATTTGCACTACATCCGCACCATTGACACGGATGATTTCATTCGAATCTGGATGAAATATCTTCTGAACCTCTTGCTGGTATGCGTAGGTTTCCGACAATGCCATATATTGTACAGCAATCCAGACTACTATGCCTCAGCCCCTGGCCTAGGCAAGAACGCAAGTCGAGGCTCCTATGTCTCTTCCGTGAATGGCCTTCTTGAACTTCGAGGCGAACTTCGAGGTAGCAGCTGACCGGATTCACTCTCACAGGCTGTCTCATATATCTGACCTGACATCCTGCGCCGCATTCCACCTCTCACATACGAACCCCCACAGCGAGTACGACATGCCCAACCCCAATCGTGTCACCGAGAAACTCTTCCAGTCACCGTCAAAGTACATCCAGGGCCCGTCAGTGATCCGTAATGCACCAAAGTACCTCTCATCCTTTGGAGGCGCACCGTTGCTACTTTGTGATGATGTTGTCTTTGGAATCGGTACATTTCTCATTGTGCATTGGTTTTGCATACACTCATAGCATTTCATGCCAGCTGGCAAGGAGCTCACTACCGCGCTTGAAGTAGCAAACTTCAAGGTGACACGAGGCATTTTTGGTGGCGAGGCATCAAAGGACGAGATTGCCCGCCTCAGTGCGCTCGGCAAGGAAAAGTCGGTCGACTTCATCATCGGGCTTGGAGGTGGCAAGACTGTCGATAGCGCTAAGGCTATTGCGGATGATCTGGGGCTGAAGGTTGCCGTACTGTCGACGACTGCATCGACTGATGCACCTTGCTCTGCCCTCTCTGTTCTTTACCGGCCAAACGGCGAGTTCGAGAACTATCGGTTCTACTCGAATAATCCCTCCATTGTCCTCGTTGACACGAGCGTTGTCGTTCAGGCCCCCGCACGCTTCCTTGCATCAGGCATCGGTGATGCGCTCGCAACACACCTTGAAGCCAAGGCCGTGCGGAATAGTCCGAACTTTGGCGGTGGGCTCCCAACCGAGGCTGCTTCAGCAATCGGCGCGAGGTGCGAGGAGATTCTATTCAAATACGGCCGGCAGGCGGTGGAAGCAAATAAAGCAAAAGCAGTTACTCCAGCGTTTGAAGCGGTCGTAGAAGCGAATACCCTTCTTTCTGGCCTGGGCTTCGAGTCTGGTGGTGTTGCTGCGGCGCATGCTGTGAGGATCGCCTGCGTTCGAGTTTGTTAAACCCCTTGCTGATGCCTGCTTATAGATTCACAATGGCCTGACCGCCATCGACAACCATACCTTGCATACTAAGATGCACGGGGAAAAAGGTCAGGATCCCCCTCTCGAGTCCCTCTTACATTCTGATTGACTAACATATGTCTTGCAGTTGCTTTTGGTATAGTCTGTCAGCTCATCCTTGATGGTGCTCCCACGTCCGAGATGGACCGTTACATCTCGTTGTTGGTTTCCGTCGGGCTCCCTACAATGCTTTCTGATTTAGGCATTGGAAATGCGACTGACGAAGAGTTGAGACGCGTGGCAGCCCTCGCGTGTGCGCCGAACGAGACAATCTGGAGTATGGACAGGGTAATTACAGAAGAGATCGTGTTCAATGCAATCAAGGGGGCAGATGTGGCGGGAAAAGACTACAAGGTACGCAATGGTTATTCCCTGTGACCGGCCCAGATTTGTGAGATGTATGAGCATTGTTAACACCTTGTTGTGCTTCATTGTATTACTATGTGCTATTGTCTAACCTCAGGCTATTCAATATTCATCTGTGAGACTTAGGTAGTGTAGGTTTTGTGAACACCTCTGCATATAGTTTCTGATGGCCTTGGATACCCTTGAACTCCAGTGAAAGTTCAAATTTATGAGACATTATAGGGTTGGTAGGGTTGGAAGAATCTAACAACCTAGGACTATATACCTATGTACCTAGGTGTGCTGTATATCACCTAGGCCCTAGGTACACTATCCTGTACCTAGGAACACACTGTCAAGGTATCGCCCTTGATCCTAACCCTAAACTCTAACCTCAGTACTCACTTGTGTGGTGCTGGTAGTTGACAAGAGGTAAGATGACTGAACTTGTCTTGTGAGCTGTTACCTCAGAGGAAGAGTAGGATGAAGTAGATGGTGTATGTTCGAATAAAAACAGACTGCCGTACTACACTGGATTGCTCTGGTATTTTATACATGAGGGACCAGACCCCGGATACTACTGGTAGTACACCTAACACCTAGGATGACTGATGCTTGTAATACACTATTGGCTATCTAAGAATACCTAGCACATGAACCATCGCTCTGTCCATGTGTTCAGTTAGCAGTCTGCTTATGTGATGATCACCTGAACGACTGTATGTGTCTCTAGTACAAATGGGGAAATCTCGTGTGAATGTATGATAGCCCATTTGACCTGCTTCTGATAAGCTAGACACCTGACTACTAACATGTCACTATGCATTACGCTATCGTTATCTCGTTAGATATCTAATCAGATAAGATATAGATCATCTAGACACTAGAGACAAGATAGACGCCATGAAATTCTGTAACACACACACACCTACATACCTAGATATACTATCCTACACCTAGGTATATGTACTTACATGCATAGGTACATGTGTTAAGTGTTACAGCACAAGCGGGGGGTTCCTTTTCTTTTCCTAACTATTCGTCATTGACCCTGTAATTATACAATTGATCCCATCACCTGATGTGTTTCACCTACATCAAGTGTTTCATATCTATCATGTTTCACTTATATCATATTATACTTACATCACATCTCATCTCTATTATGTTTCATCCTCATCACTGATACAACCCAGTGACACCTGTTTCATGTACATTACTGATCCAACTCAGTGTTTTATATCTATTAAACTCTATTCGCTTTACCTATTTAAGTAGCACTGCTTCCACTACTGTACTTTAGTTTTGTTCTCTTGTTCCCTACATATCTTCATAGGGACATCTTTAGTAATAGACTCAGTTGTCTGTTCCAGTCTCAGTCTGAAGCGTGTTGAACGAATAGTGAACGCACCTACAAGTTCTATGTACAGAACCACT